TTAATAATCTTAAGCCGCAATTCTCGCGATGAAAGATGGAGTCGCCGATAACGAAGGTCGGGTCAAGAGGTTAAACGCACAAAGTGCGTGCGAAATGTCCGCAAACCCCGCGTAAAATTAATTGCGGGCCGCGAGGCGTTATTCCCAATTTCCACGGTCGCCCGCGCAAATTGCGCAGGTTTGTTCGGCACTCGTTTATCAATTCTCGCCGAGCCGCCCACGTGAGCGTTGCCCGTTAATTATCTAATATTATGTTTATATTAGAGGAACGTATCGTTAGAGTAACGAGTTCGCAGGAGTGCTTATTAAGTCGTTAGCCGTCGAGCATTACCGGCCATAAGTCGCGCGACGAGTGCAACGAGTACACGAGAAATCAATTTGTCCTTTACATCGAATTAAGCCTATCAGCGTTATCGAGTCTAATTTCTCCGCCATATATCCAAGAAATTAATCGAGACGTAAGACCGGTCAACAATTACATTTCTCGCGACCTAACGATTTAATTGGTCAGGTGATAAAAGCAAAGGTGAGAAGATATATAAAATATGGTTTGAAATAATTCCTTTCTCGTAGGGTTTGTCATTGAAGGGTGTTTAGAAATTCGAGAGGTAAACATGGCGGAAAGGGGGGGGAAATGGAAGCGCCGATAAGCTCGTGATAAAAAGGCGACACCGAGACAGTTAAGCGATCACGGCGACGGCAGGATGGCGACCGTCGAACTCCAGGACGGTTCTTTACCGGTTTAAGTCTCTTCTCTTACTTCTCCACCCTGTCCTCCACCTCTTGAGCCCACCTCCGCCCTTTGAGACGACCAAAGAGGGGAAAAGGAAATCCAAGGAAATTCTCCAAGCGGCATCGAGTGCTTCGATCTTTTCCACGGGGAGGGCCCTCGACATCTCAAATCGCGTCTCTCGTTAAATCTTCCCATTCATCTCAAGTAACAGCGCATTCGAAGTCGGAGGCAAAATTCAGCATCCCAATTCCAGGTGTCTCAAAATCGATTTTCCGAAAAAAAAAAACAAGAAAAAAAAAGAGAAAAAGAAATCTGTGCGCGTCACTTCCGCCTTTTCCCAGCCTCGTCCAACGTGTGACATCTGAAATCCCCTTCAAATCACTCGATTCGAATACAACACTTTTTTTAAAGGGTATTAGACCAAAATGTCCGAAACTTTGACACATCACTCCTGATCATCTAAAAATTGTCCTGACGCATTCAAAATTTGGATTTTTGAAAAAATCAGAAATTTTGTCAATATAAAAAGGAACATCGGCAACGTAGGCATTTAGAAGAATCTTCTTTATCGACGTCGATCAAGTTACTCGACGTGTTTCACTTCACCTTAATCCTGAATAACTCGGTAAATAATCCTTGGGGGGAAAACTCGAGAAAAGAGTTATCTCTCGGAAATTTCGTCAACTTCCAGTTCTGGGACACCGTGTACAGGAATCGAGAGGCTGCTCGAAGAGGGCCCCGAAGAGGAGCTCGAAGAGGAACAGGGTGCCAATCTCGCAGGTAAACTCGCGCGTTAAACGGCCCCTTACGAGGCCGTTTAACGAGCCTTGCCAGGAAGGCAACGAGGCCCGAGGTTGCGATCTCCGGCAAGGTGTCACCGACGTGATCATAAACGAGTCGTTAAAGTACATTATGTTGGACGGAACAAACGAGGTGGCGGATCTTCGGCACCGACGGCGTCCACTTTGTCGAATGGGTGAGGACTATCTCGGGCCCGGCAGGTCCGATGGGAATTTATGGGCCCGTGATGGAAATAAGATTACCACGTAAATGGAGGAATATCGGTTTTTAGAGCCCATTGATCATGGTCCCCCGGTGTTTGCTCGTGGTCCACCTAATGGAGCCGAATCCGTTTAGCGGAGGTCTTGCTCTCTTTGGCCGTCTGGACGTCCGTCGAGACATGGCCTCGACATGGCGGGTCCTAAACCACCGGAGAAAAGGCAGGATCCAAGGAAACGTCTCGTCCGAGGTCCAGGATCTCTCCAAGGCCCCGATCTCTCCCGCAAACCCGAAGAGCATCCTGCTTCCAAGGACAAGGTCTCTCAGCCTCCGATAAATCGGCCGATCGGACGCGCCATTTAACTCCCGCAAACCTTCCCTCCCATGCATGCAAATGGACCTTACTTAAAGTATTTCAATGATCATTAATAATTATTGCCATAGATCCGACGCGATCCCTTCGGTTCATCGCCCAACGCCCGGGCTGGGTTGTACCTCGCGGGGATGTTTTCAAATTCATGAATGAAAAATTTGTACGAATTTAATGAGTAATTTTTTTACGGGGGTGGAAGGGCACGATGAAGGGGAAAATATATGGAAAAGTTTCACGGGACGACCCCGGGCGACTTGGGAATCAACGGCGACGGGATCGGCGCATAACTCGGGTAAGTGACGGCCGGTCTCGTAAATAAGTCGTAAACCTCGTATAAGGAGTAGAGAGAGAGTTAAGCGAGGCAGAAGAAGTCGCGACGAAGAACCCATAAATATGTACGCCGAAAAAGAAAGTGAACCGAGGGAGAGGAGTCCATCAACGAGGGGCCCCGAGGTGACGAGGCGTCGTCGTAAAGAAGACCCCATGAGACCCACGTGGCGTCGGTCGACCTGACAGCTGTCAAACTCGACTTCGCCGTTAAATCTTAAAACATTGCCACGATGCACAAGATACCGGTCTCACCTAACTCGTGCCAATTGCGAGGCATCGCCCGATTTTTATGTCATAAAAATCCCCTCTATACATACGAAATCCCGTTGGAGGATAAATTGATTTATTAATAAATAATAATTATATATAGATGTATTGAAAAATATAGGCAGTTGAAAAAGCTCTCTAGAGCGCTCAAGCTTTATGTCACTACCGGGCGAGATGAAAAGGGAGGCAAAAAGCGCTCGCGAATTGGGAGGCATCACGTATGTGAGAATTAGTTCTAATTAAAGCCAAGTCCAAGAGATTACTGCCACCTTTATGAGCCGTATTTTCGCAGGAACGCGATTGCGCAGTCTTGACTCGACACACAGGAATGACGAGGGGAATACGTATACGTATTCCCATGGCATTCCTGTCGCGTTAACCAGCACTCGATGGGCACGGTTTAATGATTATTACCAATAAAACGGAAAAACAAACTCGAGTTAAGATTATGCGAGAAGGCGTAATCCGCGGCCTCGTTCCACGTTTTAGCGCGTGATTAGTCCCCGACACGTGTCGAGGGTGAGAAAAATGTCTAATGAAAATTCAACTCCTCTGGGATCCTCTGCACATTTAATAACCATTTTTAATGATCTGATTAAATAAGACGAGCCATCGAGTAGGCGCCGATTGAATAAATAGTGATAAAAATAAAGATGGGAATTTCATCTCCTTCCGAGCGAGTCTTAGGGCGATAAGAAAATGAAGAATGGCAAATTTCTACGCGAGGCAGACGGAGAAGAAAAAAAAGAATAATGTAAATTCACTTTAACGAGAGCCCCTTGCCACTTCCTCCCGAAGGCTCGGATCGGGCGGCGAGTTTACACGCGCTAAAACGCACCCCCGATGGACGTAAACCCGATTTTCCCGGTTTACAGCCCCACTCCTCGTTCCGCGTGGCAACGACTCGTCGTTTCCGCGTTTCCTGGTCCCGGGGTACGAAACGAATGTACGGGGATCTGCATTATTGAAATTCCTGAACGGAGTCGAAAACTCGGAATCGCGAGAATGGACGATTTGAGGGTGGAAAGAAAAAGAAAGGAAATGCGCGGAAGAAAAAAAATCAAGGCGGCTTGGAAAGGGAAAGGATAGAATCGAAAAACTAGAGGGGAACCCCCGTTCATTTGCATGCCAAAGACCTTGTCAACAATTTTTCTCGGTCGTGGATTCCGCCTAGTCGGCGCGATTCCGCTTTTCCCCGCTCGGCGTTTCCGTCCCCCGAATCGCGGGCATTCAACGTGCGGTCGTTCCGCCGGGGTTTCCGCGGAAACGCAACGAGGCGCGATAACATGGGACAGCGGATTAACGTGTCTAAGTGTTGAGCATCCCCCTAGACGGATGAGTATGAATATTCACGAGCGATGAGGTGCACCAGGGTGGAAGCGCTGATAAAATTCAGGGTTAAGGAGATTCCCCATAGACCGGGGAAAAGACGAGAGGACGGGAAGGAACCGTGGAAAAGCGTGGGAAAAAGAAATTAACCTGGGGAGGTCCGATTAAATTAGTCATTAATTAATTATCCCCAGGGGTTGGTCTAGGGTGGGGGAATGGGATCTCGAGCCGGGTCCTGGGAAAGCCGTCCAGGATCAAAGGGACGCGGATATCTGAGGTCCTTTCGGAAGTTCCGCGGCCGCAACCGCAATCTCCGATTTCGCAATTGCGGTACGGAGAGATGCAAAGCGGATCCCCGGATGATCCTGGCTGTCATGTTAATTGCAGAAGAGTGCCAGCCCCGTTCGCGGTTTCAACCTCATGGGCCGCATGCCGAAGAACGGGCCAAGGCCATGGGACCCCATGAAGAAGATGCCCCCGATTTAGGTACTCCTATGCCCTCGGAGAAATGACCGAAACTGGAATTTCAAGGTGATATAAAAATGTGATATATAAATACGAAAAAGTCAATTATTTATAAAACTCATCTCTAAACTGGGTGCAACAAATTATCTAAAACTTTAACACGTGACTATGGAGGCTCTAATGAACAACGCGTTTTCTTTTTTTTTTTTTTCGAAAATAGAAATTTCATGAGCAGCGGGTTATTCTTCAGGGCCTCCATAATCACGTGTTAATGTTTCCGATAATTCGGTGCACTCAGTTTGGCAAAAAATTATATAAATATTTTGACTTCTTGTTATGTACGTATATCACACTTTCATATCACCTTAAGTACTTGATTGTAATTCGCGTCACCCCAGTGAATGGTATTCCTGGAGGTAATTTCGTTGGTGTTCTCAAGAATTTAAGGTTCATTAATGAGAGTGGGCATGTTTTATATCGTGGGGGTTAATTTTCGGTATTTACCTAGAACCGCGAGGGTGATGTCACCCTCCAGAGTGGTCGTGTCGTTTCTGGCTTGGCAGGAGTAGCGGCCAGCATCCGAGGCCCTCACCTCTTGGGTGTAGATGGTCTGGTTCGCACTTTCAGGATACAGGATGAAGTGGCTCTCCCCACCTGGCCAGGGATAAGCTCGGTTGTCCTTGTACCTGGAAAACCGAGAAAACGGCGATGAGACTCGAAGAAAAATTCCCAGGAAAATGAAAGCATCCACAAGGGCTCTTTTCGACTTAAGGCGACACCCTGAGGAGACAGATATCCCGCAGGATCGGATCCTTCGACGGATCTCCCGCGACGCTTTTAAGATACGATCTACCGAATAGCGAAACAAAATGCCCGCGGGAGATGTGATTTCCTTTATGTATTTTTTTTTAATATAGATCAAGAGACTGGCGCGCTTCATGGCAGCTGGTACCGCCTTGTGACACGTTCTAAGTGCGATCAGCAGGTGAATTCCGTTGTTTCGAAAGGTAAACCGATACTTCCACCGAGGGGCAGTCGGTTTGGTCGCAAGAAAGGCAGAAACACTCGAGAGATGTGGCACAGGTTGCGGGAACCCGGGGCACGCCAAGAGGGGGCTCATAGAAACACCTATAATTGAGGCCTTACCGGCAAAAAGTTGTTACGTGCCATCAGCCTCTTCACTTTGTTACCCCTGTTTACCGCAAAATGAACGGCATACTCGTTAGCATTTAGTGCCTTTGCATGAGGAGCAACGCCGTATAACCACCACTTCTAGCTCCATCATCCGAATTTATCAGCGGCAGGAAAATCCCGTCTACACGTCATTGAACACCGACATCTCAATCCAGAAGCTCGTTTGATCCATCAGCCCGATACGAAGCTAATATCCCTAGATCCATCCAGTTATGAACATTTTTCTTTTTTTTTTCTTATTATTTCAATCAGACCGTTCCACCTTGGATCTTCTCCCGAGTGAAATCGTTGACTAACTTGAGATTGGAATTAATTTCGGGAGTTTAATTAATGAATAACAAAATTTCTTATCTGGCTATTTAGCGTAGGACAATGTCAATGGGTACTTTTCGAGGGGATTTTTCTTGCCACTCCAAAATCGGACACAGCTTTTCGTCCTTTCCGCCCTGTAAGACTCGGAGAGTCCTCCTCCCATTCTTTTCGCGAATGGCAAATAACCGAGGCACGTGTCGCAGAAATCGACATCCTATCCTTTCACCAAGTCCTACTCTCTTTCTCTCCGGGTTCCACTCTTTTGGAAAATCCAATTTCTCGCGTCGCGCATTAAACTGTCGCCGTCTCGTCCCCGTGTCGGTTTCCTCGCGATTGACTTTCCCCGGGAATCGATTTCCCACTTTTCCGGCTAAAAGAACCGCCCGAGACTCTCGACAGACTCCAAGGAAGGAAACTCCCCCTCGAAAAGAGAATTGGCATAAAAAAGTGCACCATTGCGAGTGAAAAATTCCACCAGTACAATTTTTTTTTTCAAGGGTATTAGACCAAACTGTCCGAAACTTTGACACGTCACTCCTGATCATCTAAGATTTGTCCTGACACGTTCAAAATTTGGATTTTGGAAAAAATTTTTTAATTCTGCCCAGACCAGAACCAAAATGGCGTCGAGCTCTCATATTTCGATCCATATACAATTATCGAAGGCTCTGATATGAGAAACGAAAGGGTCAGGACAATTTTACGAGAATTTAGAACACTCTGGTAATCGATAAACTCGCATTTGAACGGGATAAAGGCAAAAAAAGTGTTGTATGCGCTTCTATGCTAAAACGATGGTAATACGAGGTCTCGGAGTGAAAATTTAATTGACCTGGAAATCACAGATGGCGCAGGGGGTCCCTCTGCAGTCAATTAGGGCCCCAGAAAGCACGAATCCAGAGGATTTCTGGAGATTTACTTCGATTCCTTGATATTTATTGTACGAAAACGACAGGTGGAGTATGCCATTTGGTACAATATCCAATATAATTCGACACAGCCGTCGATATAAAAACGAACATTGGCAACGTAGGCATTTAGATGAATCTTCTTTATCCACGTCGATCAAGTTACTCGACGTGTTTCACTTCACCTTAAATCGTCAAATCCCGCTATACGTGATATTGGACAATTATATGTTAACAAGGTGTCTGTCTCGGATGCAACGGTGCACCCTGCGTGCAAACTCGCCGGGAAAAATTCTCGCGCGTAGCCGGGAATTGCAACACACTTGCTCGTTGCACAAACTCGACACGCGATGCGCGACAGGTTGCGTGCATCCTCGGCTTTTACACTGTTAAAAAAGAATTCATAAAACTCATACACTTTTGGTACATAAGATTGCGGTATAATTATAAATTTAGTGTCTTAACAGCGAATTTGAACACATTTATTAGAAAATTCTAAGTGAATGTATAATTTCATGAACTCCGTGTTGTAATTTTCTGAAATTCCGGAGAATAATTACAAATTGGATATTTCAAAGTCATTTGGTACGCACTGTTTGTAAATTTCTTATACGAGCTTCCAATCTTATGATCGTTCACGTAGGTTTATTTTTAAACAAATTTCTTTATTTATTAAAGATAACAAGTATCGGTGGTACTGCCGGAGAAGCATTGTAACGAGATTCTTGAGTGGGGAAAAGTACTCAAAGGATATTTTAAATCATGGACAGCGTACTTGCCACTTTTCCGTGAGTTCCAAGTTCGATAATGGCAAAAAGATATCTTTTTTCGGCGTTTAAGGCGGGCTGTCTCTAAAATCGTCTATTGTTTGTCTGCAGAGAAAACGTTTAAAATGAAGTACCGATCGACACGAATTGATAACATATATTACGAATATGTTACACATACTAAGTTTCTAATATATGTCATACGTATTATTTGAAAATATGTTATAAAATTAGCGTACCACGTGTGAATAAGACTTCCAACGAAAATGTTATGAAATTATAATTTTTTTCTTTTTTTAACAGTGTACGCAATTACGACATTAAAAGGATTCCCAAATCGCGTTATCACGGAGAGCCCTCGCGGCGCGGCGAGGAAAATCGGAGGAAAAGAGGGCGAGGAAAAAATTGGGGACACGAGAACGCCTCGGCGTAGGTGCGATCGATCGGTAATTGCGATTCTCGGTATCCGACGAAAGCGATCGTCGGGCTTAGACCCCTCGGTAATACACACCGTCACGCAACCTATCCCGATGCGTTCGCGTTTAACGCTCGCCCGACTGCCGACAATTTCTGCACGCGAGCGACAAGAGCAAATTCCGCAGTCGAGCGAACACCCGACCGAACGCACATTGCGAAGAAAAAGCTAAGAAAAAAAAAAAAATAAATAAATTTCATCCAAGACATTCAGACATTAAATTCTTCCCGTTCTCTCACCCTATACTATGTCCCAAGACCGAGGAAAAAGAATTCCCCTGAATCAAATGACTATTCCTTAAAAAAAAAAAAAAAAAAGTCAAATTAACATTTTGTCCATTGAGAGGAAAAAGAAAATTACTTCAGTGAAATAATTATCCCTTGAGTTAAGAAATGATTTCGCAGGTGGTGGTTTTACGCGAATGAGAATCGCGGTGCGCGTATAGGGATTGAATATCGGTGATAAGAACCGCGTTAATTATGTTACGATTTACCGCGGAGATTGAGGTGAAAAGTGTATAGTACCTTCCAGGGTCTTATTAATCGGAGAGCGCGGACGCACCGCCTCGAATTTCTTGCCCCACCTTCGGGGAACTCCGAGGGACGTAGGGAAACTAACTTATGATAAGCTCGTAGGGACAAAAAGCTACCCGGGAACCCGTTTAACCAGAAGTGCACGACCTCGGGCGCTGCATCTAGGTGCATCTAGGCGCACCGAGCCAAGTCAGGGGTACGCTGAGGATGCAGCGCGCGAGGGCCTCGTCGCGTCCGCGCAGCGGAGGAGGTCCTCGGTCCCCGCGTCTACATCGGCCGACATGGGAGCCGCAAAATGGTCGTTAACCCGGCACACGACGGCCATAGAGGACGCCGTGTAACGACTGGTGCTTCGGGAGGATCGTTGTTACGGACGACCACACGGTCATCCTCCTTCCCCGGCCTTTCGGAGGATATTTCGTCGGGAGTTATCGCCGCCCCCCGCGAAGAACACCCTCCACAGCAGAGATGATCGAACGCGGAAGAGCATTGAAAAAGATGAAAAAGAAAAAAAAAGAAAAAGAGAGAAATATTAAATTCGGCGAGTTTCTACAGATTGCGCCCTCCCTCGGATTGAAATTAGACTTAAAAAAGCATTTCTTTTCCGACAGAAAGCGGAAATTAAGCCGGAAATAAAGGGAATCTCGAGTACGGTACATGCGGTACTTGTAAAATGAAGGAAACACTTTTTTTTTTTCTTTTTCTGGTACACAGAATAATAATATTGTAATGTATCCCGAATCGTAGGGGAGATTTTTTTGGCAATTACTTTTGCCACTTGCTCCATCTTGGATGTGAGCGGTCCGATGCCGGTCGACGGATTTACGGGGCTGTAATTTCTCCCTCCCGGATTGCATGGATGTAGGGAGGGGCCGAGAGTCGACAATGTTGCGGGAAGTATTGTCGGTCCCGGGAGGACTCGACGGAACGGGAGAAAAAGGAAGGAGGAACTGTCGAACCGGTTCATGAACGCAGAATGGAGCCGGCGTAATGACCACTTACACGCGTTAAGGAGATCCGGCGTACAGCCCGCGGGTCCAGGGGGACAAGGGGTGCGTCGTATGTCTCCCGAAATTGGCCATTCCCCGATAGTTTGTCGTCAAAATGTAACACGTAGAGGAGGGCTCGCGTGTTCCTCCACTTCCGAGAAGGAATTACCGCCGAGAAATTACCCCGTCCGGCGGCCATCTTTTTCTTCCCACCAGTCTAAAAAGACGCGTCCCCGAGCTGTCTCCGAGAAGCTTTCAAAATTTCCCCCACCCCGAGAGAAGACTACTAGGTGGCTGAAACAAATATATATAATGTACATAATTGCAAGAGACAATTATTTCAATTATCAAGCAGCATATTTTTTTTCTTCCTCACCGGGCATTGATATTAATTTCATTTTCGAAAGGGTAGCCCGTAGAGGGTGAATTTTATTATTTCTCGATATTACCTCAATTTTAATGCCACTTTGAATATTCGAGTATGTGGAATTTACGGGGGTCCCTTTTT